AACAAATTATAATGTAGGTAGTAACAAAACATTAACAAAAAAAAACTTAAAGGCATAAAAATAATTTTACAACTTAATTATTAATTATTTATAACTAAGCATTTGTTACAAATAATTAAATGAATAAACAAGTTTGCTCTATGGCTTACCTAACAGTTATTTCAGTTCACTCGTTAGTATAATGAATGAAATCATGTGTTTGGTAGCCGCATTACATCTTTGTATACCCATTTAATCAACCATCGAGTTAGTTAAGGTAATTTTAAATTATTCATGCCAGTTTTAATAACTAGTAAAACAATCGTGAAACCTGGAACGCAGGTTTCTATAAAAGACCAAAAAAAAAACATTTTAAACGTAATAGCCCAACCTCTCTTTTCTATAAAGTTGGCAACGCACTTGTGACTTCTATGGTGTTGTCCATATCCATGACTACTACTAGCTAAATTCTTAACATCAGTTGATAATGGAGCCCAAAAAAATCAAAATGAGACCGTATCAAGACCTATTGTCTTACTAAGCAGCATTTTTTACCGACCATCAGCTATTATCTCGTATGTCCTATAAAGGTGATTCGATCATTAAACATAATGTACCGCGTTCAATAAAAAACATACTTTTGTGTGTTACTTACGTGCAAAGTCCAACGGTGTAAAGCAATGATTGATGAACAGTTCGCTCGATTGTATTCTTCTCTGATAATATTTTCTCAGTCTATTCCGAATGAATTTGTTCTTATAGAACATTTTACTTTGACAGTTTTTGTTATTAATACTTTCGTTAGCTGTGTGGTTTTCATTTTGGCGCTGAAATTTCTTCAGTTGTTTGTAGGTATGCCTTGGAAAACTATGTCTCTTTCAGGGATTTCGTCAGAAAAATACTACTACTACACCAGTTTTTGGCAGCTTTAGGCGAGCTATTCTGTTAAAGAATCCCACTGACTTAACTAAACATGTTTGTCGGTCGATTTATTAGACTGATTTGGGTATAAATATCATTGAAGGAAATTCTCCATTAAAACATATTGCTTTATGGCTCCTGGTCCCTTTGGAATTTAAAAGATTCCGATTTAGTTGACTCCGATTAAAAAAGAAAATCAGGCTAAATATGTAGCATAAGTTAAGTACTTTTTGATTATTAACTTTTGTTATGCGAAAGAATATTATAAGGTCGGTGCAGTTTTATAATCTACTCATCACAACCGCTCAGAATATTAGTATGGAAACCAGTTTTATATTCTTCTACCAGCTCATTCATCTTGCGAACACAATGACCTACTTGTGCAGTTACACATTCATACTTCAATTAGTATACAAAAGTTCAATCAGAGTAGTTAGCGATGTTTCAATGACCGTGAGCTGCATTCAGAACATATAATAACAAGTTCCTGAGACGCCTGGACTGCATCGAATGTTTTAGGTAGTCTGAATCATGTAATCATAGGTAAGTAATGATCGCTTAAACAGATTTTTTTCCTTTGTTTACCTCTATAGAAAATTACTGGTATAGTTAATATGTTTTTAAAGAAACTCGATCATCTATACCTACTTCTTCTTCCAGCCTTTTAGTTGATAAATCCAAAGAAGAGTACACTTTTGTTGCTATTAACTTTTCAGAACATCTTACCGTGTTATTGTTATACTGTTTCTGGGTTTTGAATCAGGTGATTACACATCGCTCATTTCCTATCTTCGTTTTCGTTCATAATGTTAAATTCAGTTATATAGAAGTCACAAGAAATATTTTATAACCTAACGGTATGAGGACAATCAGAAATATTCTTTAATATTATTAGCCTTGCATTTACTCATAACTAAAGTGAAATCTTATCATTCCTGTCAAAACAGTGTCGCAGGTAAGTACAATCAGCTTCAAAAGTAGAGGTTCACAGTAATTCGACAAGACCTAAGCAATAATTAAAAACTAACTCGTTTTTTTTTTAAACGAGTGATACTGTTTTGGTTTCGATTAAAAATTGTTGTTTTATAGTTATTATTAATAAAAGGTGCCTATTTTTAATATCAAAATAATTGAAACTATTTTGATATAATGATATTTTGACTGACAAGCAGCACGAACACCATAAAATGACACTTTAAATCTGTATATATTTGAATTACTATTTTCAACATAAGTTATGGTGAATAATTTCTCTAGATGATAACAAAAGCATAATTTTCAAACTATCACACAAAACTTTATTTACATTTTTCACAATAATTTTCCAAATGTTACACTAAACTCAATAATTCGACTACAGTCTCCGACTTTTGCTACAGACTGTACTTATGTACATCGCGATATGAAATATGATTCGCGACTTCGACACACCTAATAATAATATTATTCTTTGTAACGTGACACGACCGATACACATCTCTGTAATACCATTAATGTTTGTATCTTTAAAATTCTTTAAATTACTACAAAGTTTTATTTGTTAAACTTACCTACCTTTTATTTGTGAAGATTTGACTACATTATTAGAAACCAGGTGAAAATAGGAAGAATAATACAACGGAACTCTTTAGGAAAAATGTAATTAAAGTTGTGGTAAAATTATTGAAACCTCAAATTAACAAACTAGCAAAGAAATATTGGTTACCACGACTAACCTATTGATGGTCTGACGAATCTCAAACAAAAAGGGCGGTTATGCACTCAACATGCCTTACAAACTGATCAAAATTTTCTTTAACCTTCAAAGATTAGTAATCTTGTAATATACAATACAATATTGTATCCTATAATATTATCAATTCATGTTTGGAAAGTATAACAATTCATCGATTCTGGTTGTCATATTTATAAACATCAATGACAAGTTGTTGCGCCTACTCTAACCAAGAATATGGTGTCACTCTTGATGAAATGTAAAATGCGGTTAAGATTTAGCGCTGACTATAATGTTGGAAAGAATACTGGAGACAAGACTTTTACAAATCTAATAAATACATGGTTATTGGGAACTGACTTGAGATTTCCAGTTTTAATATCAATTGTTTTTTTAGGCATTTTCGTTCCTGTATATTAAGTTCCAGCTATACTAAACCATGTTTTTGTCTAGAAATGTACAAGATATACCTATATGTAATGTAATAAAAAGAAATAAGCCAGGTAGTACTGTATCATATCACTGTTCTACAGACGTTTTGGTCAAGTAAAGTCTACTATACCTTTTATACCTAAGCCTTAATGTATCCAAAACATCTGAACCACAACCGCAACATAGGCACGGAACAATCGACTCTTCCATATCCAGCAATTTGATCGTTTAAACCTTTCAGTGGCAGCAACGATATCAAAACATTCTATAGAGCGAAATATTCTGACAGTATGATTTATAGGACCAGCCTCCGACCTACAAACTAAGGCAACCTTCACGTTTTCCGACACTCTTTTGTTGGCACGTGGTAAGCTGCTGGCGCCCTCGCAGGTTCGGCTGTCATGTCATTGCTAAACTCATTTATCATCACTCAATACTGCCATCAGCCTGAACGGGCGTCTCTCTGGCGCTCGTGTTCGAATAGTTCAATACTTTCTATTGGTAACGATAATATTGTGTTTTAAATGTTACTAACTATTTGTCATCATTTGTTTTATAAATGTTGTTTAGATTGTTCAAAAGCTGTAATGGTCTCGTTTTGATTTTATTGTGTGATTTTTTTTAAACTTTCGATTCTAGAAGTTTGTTTCTTCACGAAACTTATATTTAGTTGTTACTTTTCTCTATAATAGTAATTTTGATCTCTTTCATAATATACAGGTTAATAAGTTCAATAACACTACATAGTATAAAACAAAGTCCCTATCCGCCGTCTGGCTGTCCCTATGAATGCCAAGATCTTTAAAACTACGCAACGGATTTTGATGCGTTTTTTTTTCGATAGATAGAGTGATTCCTAAGGAAGGTTTTTATGTATAACACATGCATATTGCTCCCGTGCGAAGCCAGGGCGGGTCGCTAGTTCTGAATAAAACGCTTTCATATCATCATAATTTATTTTATCTTCTTCACCAATTTTTCAAATTTAATACACTTTATTAATACAATACAATAATTTAAATGATCAGTAGCATACTTTACTAGAGTCCTCATTTAAACTGGAATGAACGATAAACGTTATTTTATTAGTTAATAAAGAAATAACATAACTAAATTAGGAGGAAAATATTTTACAAAATGATAGAAGACGGACAATAGGTCAGGCCACATTCTATTGCACAGTTTTTTACAAAAGAAACATTATGAGAGAAGTTATTTTACTTAAGAATTTGAACATTATCCTTTAGTTAATACTAAGTTATCTAATATTTACAAACAATAAATAAAGCAACAAATGTACCAATCAAAGAAAATAAGCATTACAAACATACTCCATGAAGTAAAAATCAAATATACGAACTCAAATCGCGCTGTTTTCACTTAAGAATTAAAAATTTAACAAAATATCACAGTTGACCACGACGTTTTCTAATAAAATGTGACAACAAAACTTTAAGCGACGATTTATAAATCATAAGGTCATATTATCCAACATCATTAATTTATCATTGGACGTTCTGACAAGGTTAAGCAACGTTGCAACACGTGAGCTGTGTGACACGGCCGTTAACCTTGTAAGGGCGTCTGAATCAGAACTGTAATATCTCAATACATGCAATGTTTACTAACAAATGATATTTTTTACAAAACTTTAATTAAATTCAAAACAACCGAAGACAGATAGACAATCAAAAAGAAAATATTTTAATCACTAGCATTATTTTAAGTACATTTTACAAATACGACATTAAAGACTTTAAAGTACGTAATAGAGCCACATGAAATTTTTAAATGGTATCGTTTGTGGAAACTTTAAAAAATCACTAATTTATTTACTTAATAACTTTAACTATATAGTATGTATTTATATTGTGATAAATACTTTGTTATTTACAAACTAAGGAGAGGAACATAAAACAGTTCGAGATACATACTGATATATATTAATTTTTTTCACCGTACCTTCTACATGACAAGTTATTTACATTAATAGGAAGAAATTACCTATTCACAATCTATAACTGAGCTTACTTCTTTAAGTTTCACAGCGCTTTTACAAGCCCCCTTCTAATATTCGTTACTAATAATGAAATGTCCTAAATAATTATAGTATTTTCTGATACATTTTGTCTTTAACAATGTAGTTCGTACATCGTTACACTATCCCTGTACAATTCCGAATTTGTTTATCCTTGTGATGACTACATCTGCCGGTTATAAAGTCTATCTTAATTCTATCAAAGTGTCTACGATAGAAACACGACAAACAAAACTCCGAGCAGCGTTTAGCAGTTCATTGAGTTATTTTCCTACGCAACAACTGTTTGAAATAAAAACAATGAAACGCAAACGATACCAGAATTTTCATGTCGCACTATTTAATTTTAGACACTCTCTAGTCACCACAATGTACATAAATCGGTATTCAGTTGTTCATATCTTACAGTTTTACGAATAATGCAAATCGATACAGCTTATGACTAGGTAAAATTCAACTCTACTTTAAATTTTAACACCGTTGTAGTTAATGTTTACATTTAACGTTTTTGTGATAAGGAAATGTCGATGATTTCCTTCCATGCGTTAATATAGGTATGGGAAACTGGAATAAACTTTAAATTATGTTTTATACTCATGTTTTTCACAATCACCACTCTCTATGCTCATCACTCCTGTCCCACGGTATCTTGCCGCACAATCACTGTCTTCGTCACTTGTAACGTCACAATAACAATAACAAAATTAGACTACACTTACAGAAATTTTTCGAACAGCGAATAACTGACCCAGTCTGGTTGCTGTAACATCATTGTTAACCAAGATATTACACGCAACCCCGCGATGCGGACGACTGTCTACATTAATAAATCAGTTATCCGCTGTTCGAAAAATTCCACTGATCCTATGCGGAGAGATGCGCGAACTGGCTCGGGTGAAGGTCGAACTGGTAGGGGTGGCCGTACGGATTCATATGGTACGGCACAATGTTCATCGATGCCATCTTGTGCTCCTTCTTCCACTTCATGCGGCGGTTCTGGAACCAGATCTTGATCTGGCGCTCAGTGAGGCAGAGTGCGTGCGCAATCTCAATCCTTCTCCTCCGCGTCAGGTACCGGTTGAAGTGGAACTCCTTCTCCAGCTCGAGCGTCTGGTACCGGGTGTATGATGTTCTCTGACGCTTTGTTTCTCCGTTGGCGTTCACCGTACCTGGAACAGTTAAGTAGTTCATTAGTATGACTTAAATAAACCACGATTTAGCACACATTAGCTGTATAAGTTCGTTAAGTATTATTCTGGTCACAAAACGCAAGGCACGTTAATATTTAGAACTGAATGTTCGTTTGAGCGCCAATGAATAGTTGGCTCGATCGACTTCGTGCCTTGCCACGCTTGCTCGATTGTGATATACAACTCGCGGTAACATGCTCAGCGAAGAACAAGATTTCTATTCAGAAATATAAACACTATTGTGCAATTAATTTTAATTTATTCCCCTGAGCTGTCACATTTTTCTTAATTTATATCTTGTTTCGCGACGCACTACGACACCTTCTCTAATGATTGTTTTGGCACATGCTTGTTCCTGTTTGCGGGTACAAACCGCAGCCAAGATAAACTTTTAGTTTAGTTTATCATATGAGAAATATGGAGCTGAAAATATGATTGCATATGTTTACTAATATTAAACTGATTATTTTTATTATTACTGACATATCAGGCATGACTGAGGAATTTTTACTTAGAAAGCATCTAAAGTATGAGATGCAGTTAGTAAATGAATATCAAAGGGGGAGTAGCGAGTGAGCGGTATGGCGGCGGCGCGCGAGTCATGGGTTGCATGCCGCACCTGTCACGGCATGTCGACGGCACGGCCCACCACTTGGTCCGGCTTGGACGGCCGCCAGTGTTCTTGTGATAGATACGCAGCCCGTCTCGGGTGTGTCTACCAAATTAAACTGCGCCATTTATTATATTTCTTTAAGGAGATTGGTCCACAGCACTAATGAGTGGACCACATCATTATTATTAACCTACTGAATCATGCTGTTGTAGTTGTATCGTTACCTTGTCCTAATAATACATCGAAGCATGCGGGAGGGATAGTTATGCTTTGATACATTTCGTCAATGTAATCATCTATGAACTTAGATGTATAAAGTTGGAACATATATCATAAATTGATGATAGACCAAAACTTTGCAAATTCAATAAACTAGGCACAACTTTTGATGAACACTACACACATAGAATAATGATTTTGGTAATGTAGATCCAGAGCAAGTTACCAGTATTCTCTCATCTCAGTTGTCAAACCCGCGTCAATAAAGATGTTTAAACAAGTATAAATATTCGATTTCGTTCAAGTTTAAAAGCGTACGAGTGAAGCTGCAGCAAAAACCGAGCCGATTGAAATGTTAGTGACAGGCCGATGCACAAACAACAGACGTACAGCATTATTTTAACATAAATAATCCTTGTACGAAACGAATGGATACAATACGGGAGCATTTGAATTTCAATATGAATACAGGAATACATTGATGTTGATTAAACGGTCACATCAAGATTATAATTTAAATGTGTTACAGTTCAAGTGATAAGCTATGTGTATGGAAATATTGACAGGTCCTTCATAAGAAATGCAATCAAAGATTTAATGCCAATATTATAATCGCATCTAATATGAACCCAGATAGTGTTTAAGCGATACAGAACCTTAACAGCATCAAACAAATGAAGTGGCCTAACTGGCACACCAGCATCAGTTTTATTTTCTTTGTCAATTTGTAATGCATCAAAATGTACAGTCCATAATGACAATGTTCATTGCGAAGCGTCTTCTGCGATATATTATTAGAAATCAAGAACAAACACTTAAGATCACAAATAGGTACGAGAACGCTTTCATCTTGCAACAATTATTTGCGCAACCACTATTCTGCAAGACAATAATGTATCCGTCAGTGATCTAATACTTGCAGTAAGAAATACAAAAACAGTAGTCGTCTTTTTATCTAAACTAGATAATTCTAGGTCACAGACCATTGATATTCCGTCTACAGAGTCTAGACATATTGCATGGTCGAATTTTAAATGAATGACATCGCATTGGTAATCCAATGGATGAGACTTGAAAATTTGAAATCTAAAATAGGCAACGTCTGGAGACAGTATTTGATAAAACGTGATATTCAGATGTAGACGATGTTTAATTTGGCAATGCATTAGACGGTACATTTCTTTGGGTAATAAAAACTGTATTGAATTTGTTAATAATGTCTACAATTAAATTAATATTGATGTCCACAGTAGCTATATTTTTATAGTATACATATTTATTGGCTTCTGAACTACTAGCTTCTTCATTCAACTTAACATCTTTAGCATAATTAATAGCATCAATCACAGAACTAAAAATTGCTGTTTATTTGTTATAAGAGACTTAGACACACTGTGATGTAACTCATAACTTCCTTTGATAAATTACAAAGCTACAATCTTTTATTGTGTTAAAAAGACATTTTAATTTTATTCACTGTTTTCACAATTTGATTAACGGCATTACCAAATTTTAGTGACATCATCAGTATTTTTGTATTTTTCATTTTTCTTTTAAAGATTTTGCTGTTGTCCATTACAAAATTCTCCACATCCTGTATGATTTATTATTTAACATCAAAAATAATCTGGACATGAAATATAATCAGCATTAACAACTAAAACATTTATTGTATCAAACGCTAGGATTCTTCAATCACCACCCGTACTCGCTATAATATGAGCTCGACATAAAAACAGTTCGAGATCTAAGATCAAAGCAATGACTAATGATATCTAGATGAGAACCGAGTACGCAATAAAAATGTCACAAATATATTTTTATCTGTGGTCTACATAGGCCGTATAATTGTCGATTGTATCGTTTGTGTATTCACACTGTTTTCTTATAATTAATTGGTGCAAAGCTTTGTTGCTGCTAATTGACTTGGGTGCCTTGATATAAATAGAATGACTTAGTATTTTGAAACTGGGACGTTTGAGTATTTTTCATACTTTTCGTAATATTTTAGTATCATATCATTTAGTATCTGACCGAAATAATCGTGGTTACCTGCCTTTAAATATTTTCTTTTGAGAATTTTATGAGAGTTTTCTTGTTCTAGTCTGTTTAAAGTATTGCGTTCATCCGTAACGTATAAATTAATCTTGACGTTAATTTCAATAGCATTATTCCTATGTATTTTTTCAAAACATCTAAATGCTAGTGCAAAATTTTCATATAGACTATTCCAATAAACTTTTCTACACTTTATTAATCAGCTTCTATTCAAGGGTTATTTATGTGATACAATGTTTATGTTGCTTCAAGCATTGTAAATATATTGTATCTAATTAGTCTTTTTTCGAAATTTGTTACTAGATTTTATATACCTGTGGGTATTGCTTCAGTTATATTTAACGTGTAGGTATAGACTTGCAAAAATACTCTTTGTAAGTATTCGTCTGGCTTACAAGGTAGAGATAATTATCTCGACTTCAAACGGTGCAGTTTGTTATGTATGAAACAATTATTATCATCGCCTTTATTCCAGTAACGATTCTAACGAGGTGTGTCATACACCTCTCCATTATAAATTTATTAATAGGTTACATCGATAGTCTGCATGACAATCCTATTAGGTAGGAAGAATTGAACAGAATGTTAGAGAAAACAATATTGGAATAGTTTATACAATTTGAAATCATAATAACACTTCTTCAATTTTAATAATTCTTATTTTAACATTCATTCATTGATGCTCTAATCCCCATTAGTTGAACATTGCAATAATTTGGTACTGTAATTTAATATGCTCTTATTGTCTCTTCTCACCACTCGTGTTCCTAATTAATAATAGTATCATCAGAATCAGCTCAGAATCTAATCATTATGCAATTTACTAAAATATTCAGCAGTCTGAACCACATCTAGTAAAATTCAAAACGTCATCGCAGTAAAATTCAAAATAATTCAAATCGGTAATGTATCTGTAACATCAGCTGCAGCAGTAGAAGTTCATTGAGCATAAAATATTATACAAAAAATCCAGATATCTATATCGAGGTAGACAATTAAATCAGTTGCCATGTCGTCTAGGCTGAATGAATAACATCTGCCCATTACAAGCAGTCGGTGCATCGACAAGCAGGTCATCCGGCTTCACACACACATCTAGACACATTAATCATGAATGACGGGTGAATTCTGAATTTGATACCTAGACTATAAAAGTGAACTATGCTTGTGGATGCGTCTCTTTGTTCTGTTCTCTTTCTATTCTATTATTTTATGTTTCTTCTTCTATTCTGGTATTTTGAAATAAAAATTATTGCATTTGGAAAGATTTGTTTTTTGTTCAGCTTCCATGAGAGCTTTTAATTTTTTTTCTACACCATTTTTAATAGATTTTATAATGTGTTCGGAACTGAAAAGGTTTTTAAGACAGAGATTAGCAATATCGTTGTAAAACAGAATAATTCGTCAGAACCTTGGACAAATTGGTTAAATATGTAAGACCTAGGCACACGTGCAGTACAAGGATGCATTGTTATGGTGGAAAAATCCAAGGTTCCGAAATTGCGTTTTAAACATTGCTCCCTCATTATCATATCTATATACATCGACTTAGCTACCTTTACATATTTGAGAATGAAGTATTGAGTTTTATCCAGGTTAAAGATGATGGGTATATTCAACTGCTTAATTCTTAACAGCTATGTACCTTGTGATAAGTATTTTATTTCCTTCATGTTATTATTTTTACTTCAAAATATTATACTATTTTCGTACAGAAAATATTAAAAATAAGGAAGCAAAGCTACCGTTGAGCTTAATTATTAAAATGACATTCTACTAGTGACAGCAGAATTTATACCCGTTTGAGGCTATAAAAAATGAATATCGTTTTATTTCAATATTTTTCAAAGCGTGACATTTTGGTGGGAATATTACCATAAGATGGTAACCGGAGCAAATTCACCTGCGTTTTGAAACAAAGCGCTTCGTCGCGCGCGCATGTTTTGACGTATGACAGACATGCGCAAGGTGGCCTCAGGCATATTCTTATACTGCCTTCCTGTTCCTTACTGCTCACAAAGTTATATTTGCTGCTACATTAAAACATTTTTCTTTAACTCCATATAGTTCAAATCTTTTTTCGACCCGC